CCTGCCGACTTCCTTACTGTCAACGTCACAATCAAGGACATCGAGACTGCGCTTGGCATGCGTCCTCAGCCCAAGGCTGCGAAGCCTGCCGCTAAGGCTTCCTCCAAGGCCCCTCAGCTCTCTGAGGTGAACAAGAAGCTCGCCTCGCTGCCCGATGTCTCCAACCTGCCTCCTGCCTCCTCTGTCTTGCTCCAAGGTAACCCTAAGACCGCCACCAAGAAGTTCTTCTTGGTCCCCGACGGTTCCGGCAGTGCGACTAGCTACATCTCCATCCCCAACATCTCTCCTAGCATGGCTGTCTACGGGCTCAACTGCCCATTCATGAAGTGCCCTGAGAAATGGACTTGTGGTGTTGAGGGCGTCTCCCGTCTTTACCTCAACGAGATCAAGCGTCGTCAACCAGCCGGTCCTTACCTCATTGGCGGATGGTCTGCTGGTGGTGTCATGGCATACGAAGTCGCTCAGCAACTTGTGAACGCTGGTGAAAAGGTCGAGAGCCTCGTCCTCATCGATGCTCCCTGCCCAGTCGCTCTTGATCCTCTCCCCGCTCGCCTTCACATCTTCTTTGATCAGATTGGTCTCCTTGGCACTGGCAAACCTGGCGGTACTCCTTCATGGCTCCTTCCTCACTTCGCATCTGCCATTCAGAACCTCAAGGACTACGACCCGACCCCCATGAACCCCAAGATCGCTCCCCCTGTCCTCGCCATCTGGTGCACAGATGGTGTCTGCCCTAACCCTGAGGACCCCCGCCCTCCCCCAGGCGAGGGAGAGGATCCAGCTCCCATGAAGTGGCTTCTCAACAACCGTACTGATTTCTCCGACAACGGTTGGGCCCAGCTTCTCCCCAAGGAGAACTTCCAGTACGCTGTCATGGGTGGCAACCACTTCACTATGATGAAGGGTGATCACGTAAGTCACTTCGATATCCATATTCTTCTCACATCATGCTAACATATCTCCCAGGGTGTTACGCTTGGAAAGCTCATCCAGCAAGGTCTCAAGCTATGATGACTTTGTGTCTTCCATGTTCTCGATTGTAATCACCGCATATTGCATGCATCTCGTTATGTTTCAAGTGTTGAGTAATGAGATGTTGGCGTTGGAATTTTCTTCACTCTTTGTCAGTATGGCATTTAAGATATCACATGGCGCAGGTTTCGGGGTCACGATAAAGTTTCTGGCGAGGTGGCCTAACTGGATGGCGTTGGGGGCTTGGATTTTCTGGGTTTTGATTCAACACTCCCGCACACGACTTGATTGGCTTATGTTCTTTCCTATGTTCACGCACCGTTATGATTATTGATAGTCTCGCTCTGTACGTAATGTTTTGGCTTCCGCAATGCAAGGGTACTTCATAAAGTCTGGTTTTTGTTGTCTCGTGCCATGTGACTGCTGCCTTTGGTCGTCTTTTGGTTGGAGACCTGTCTACTTCGCGGGCCCTTACACAACATGCTCCAACTCATGCCGTGTCCCATGCGCTCATTTCCAACACCACGTTTCGGTAACCGAACCTTTCGTCTATCTTGCACAGAATAGTCAATCACTTGTATCATTCGGCTCCGCTGCCCGGATTCTCGCACACCCTGCCAGACTCTATCGCGGTGGCCAGCGATTCAATCTATCATGGTGTCACAGCACCCCCACACCTTCATCTAAACCACCTCCATATCCAGATCCAGAACACAGCATTAACACACCCTCTTTCTCCCCGCAACACATTTGCATGATCGTACCAAGACACGGCATCCATCCCGCCAAACCGGCCGGCTCTCCCCAGGTCCTCGGGACACACATACTCACCAGCAACCAACTACACGCACCGAAGCGCCGCCCTCATGGAAACACCATGATCTTCATTCCCCGCTTCCTTCCTTCCTTCCTTCCTTCCTTCCTCCTTCTCTCGCGGCAAATCTACAATTTACCCAGCCCAGTCTAATCCCCCCGCATTGCATGAGGGGCCCTCCTTTCCCCAAGAAGCTGGCTGCAGGTACCCTCGTTACCAACCCAAGCGAACGGGTAAATGCCCGTGCATACTCAAACATTCCATACAGAAATCCTGCCTTTTTCCTTGCTACATCACCCGTCCTCCGCGATATGGATACGATGCACGCGCCGCTACATATAGTGAAGAAGCTTGTTTTGTTTCGGGTCGCTTGGATCACCCGGGTGCCGCCCGGTAAAAGACGGGGTCAGGGGTGTTTTTCGGCTATAAGGGATTAGATTGTTGTGGCTTTTTTTTTGACTTGAGGTGTAGCTGGTAAGGGGTTCTTGTGGTGATGCTGTAAAGTGCGGGACAGGTGAGGGTTTCTTTCTATGTAGCGTTCATCTATGCAGATGCGGTCCGTCGGGAATGGGGCCCATTTGGACGGGCGGGACGGATCGTATGGTGTTGGGTTTAGATTGAGGGATACGAGTGTGCGATATCATCCTTGCTTTGCTGTATGCTGGAGTAGATCTGTGGACCTGTAGTGCTTGGTTTCCATGTGCTGGAAGTGGTAGGTGCTATGTTTGGGGTTCGGTATGCAACGTTACTCCAGGTTTTTGGGTTGGTATGCAGATTACTCTCGCGAAATATGCTGGTTTGGGTTTTGCTTGTTATCACACCGGCATATAGGGGCTTGAGCGACAGAGTATCGATGCCGATGAAGTGCAGTTCGGTTGTCGGGCAAACCACCCCAGGGTCTACTTCTTGGGCCGAGTGTTCGGGAATCACCCTGGTTTTTTGGTTTTATGTTGTATAGCCTTATCCTACGAGAAATCTTGAGGGACTTTGTCGTATGCAAACGATGGCAAGCGTATCCTGTTCGCCACCACTTTGCGCCACAGATTGTAGTCTCAAGATACTGGAATGAGCAATTTACGGGCCATAACTTGCATTTTCGGCACTGCACTGCTCTTAATCCGAACCTATCTTAACGCCTATTTGAATTTGCAATTTGTCTTTCCCAGGGTCGTTCAGGCAAAACATCTTAGCCGTGTGGTTCCAACAAACCCTTCACCGGGCGCTCGGTTTGAAGTTACCGATCAAACACTGCAACGCACAGCGCTTCCGGTCAGCCTTGCGTTCCAGAAGACAGGCTAACCACGTGACCTCGTAAACCATGTCGCTAGACATCCGTCTATGCGGTCACACTTAAGGCGACTAGTGTCACATCACACTCAGGCCATTTCTCAGAACATGGTATATGAAGCGAGGCTCAACAAGCGCATGTCAGCTCAACGAGTCGTTGTACTCACCGATTGAACGGTTTCTAGTACGAGAGAGTGGTACCATGGAAGCAGTTGCGTTTACAGCAAAGTCACCGTACAAGGCCTAAGCGGTATCCTCGGATTGCCTGATACATAGCCTCGTTAGGCGCATTTAAGCTCCACTGTATACACTCGTATGCTTGGTTATCACATTGCCCTGCTCAGCTCGCAAGCAAGGGTGCGCCACGTCATGCAGATGGCACAACATAGTACGAGACGCCTTACAGCTTCACTCCCCAGCCATTTCATCGCAAATATGATGCCGGGTAGGACAGAGGTTTTCACGAATCATTCAAATGATGTCGTAAAGGAGCCCAAGGGAGTGAATTCGCCGATCATCTCCAAGGCCTGATTGTGGGGATCCCCAGAACCCGTTTGACAGTTGTCCTGCTGTGAATGCTGCAGGCCTGAAGGAATACGCGGATCATCATGTCGATCAATATCGAATGTCTAGCCTTATGCAAGACAGCTTTCCGAAAATGGATAACGGAAAGTACAGTCTGGTCGGCAAGGACTAGTTTACATGTGATTCGTATGCAAGAGACTCTTTATACCGCATTCCTAATAAAAGGTGATACGATCACATATGCAGAACCAGAGAACCAGAGTCTGCTATTATTATCTGAGACAGGGCGCGTACATAGGAACGCTCCGGGTATATCCGCAGGGGCTGAAATTATCTTGGTGTGATGGCGGTAGCAGGTTGAGTCAAGAAGTGTGTGATAGGATTCTGGCTGATTGACGATTGGACCGTGTTTGGCATGGTATGAGGACAGGGCCCAATGCGATTACAGAAGGTTCAGTTGGCGAGGATGCTGCGAGCTGATATGTTCGGAGAATAGTGAGGAGGCCCGAACGTGCAGGGCCAAGGTCAACTACAGCTATTCCTCAAGCGGTGGGAAAGACACAGATGCAGCCGCTGATCGCAACCATGACTGGAAAACCGGTGACGTTTTTTTCCGTGATGAGTAATTTTGTGGCGTGTTTTGTTACAGAAAGGTCGGCGGGCTGGTCAAGGATAATGGACTCATTCGTAATTGGATCGGTTCTCAACGTGGCTGAAGGCGGGCCATCAGCACATGTGCTTACATCCTACCTCACGTCGGCCTTGCAGTAGCCTTCGATAGTCCATGATGCGAAGATCGGGGACGCGGTTACTATCTCCATAGGGCGCATGGGCAAGCCCATTATTCGCGCTAGGCTATCGGCTGTTAGCATATGCAGGATTGGGCATGGCCCTACAGTTCTTCGAATGCTAGAACAGTAAGCCACATACGTGGGGGGCCGCATTGACATTGATTGGAAGTGAGCGCCTCAGAGATAGCGTCCTTGCAAGGGCATTGTCATCGTGTCATGATCCTACAGATCAAAGGATCCGAGATTTCTTGAGGGATTTCCGGAGAAAAGTCTTTATGTAATCCTGATGCTTACTATGGGGTGGAGACGCTCTTCCCTAGGGTGCGCAGCATTTAGTAGCGTAGGATGTCTACTACAAGGGTCAGCATATAGGGTGCCAAGTGTTGAGATCACAGTAGTATAATTAGCTTAGCATGACTAAACAGGTACAGGTAGAATCCTTGCAAGACCCGTTGAGTAAGCGAGAAGATAGAGTCGGGGGTGGAGCGGGGAGAGTAAACGGTAAGCGGGGTGGAGATATACTAGGTGCCAAGAGCGGATATGGCGGGGCAGTTTTTCCGATGCGCGAAACAAACAACGCGCATTGCTAAAGTCTACAAGTCCAAGGCGCAATGGCGGACGTAGCTAAAGCCGGGAGGTCAGTAACGATACAGAGCTGCTATGTCACCAGTGAATACGAAGAGAGCTAACATGGCAACAGCGAGCCCGCGAGTATGTATACCGATACGTCCCTCTACCACAAGCTCCCTCTGACATAATGCCTCTCTTCCAGCAAACCCGCGGGGCATCCCTGTGGCTCCGTTCATCGATCGAGTAGAAGACTATGTGACCGACCGCTCCGAGGTGGAATCCACCATCAACAACTTCAAAGAGATGATCTCGTACGCCAGCACTCATACCCATATACCCCAACCCACCATCTAATCCATCCAAACCCCCCAGAAAATACCAATTCATGCAGCAAAATACACAAAGACGAGCTGCTGGTCTCAAAGACAAGATCCCCGATATCCAAAAGACACTCGAGACAGTCCGCTTCCTCAAGTCGCGAAAGGATGATGCTGAACCGCTGGAGACAACGTTCGAATTGAATGATACGCTCTATGCGAAAGCAGAGGTTCCGCCTACAGACGAAGTGTATCTCTGGCTCGGCGCAAACGTTATGCTCGCATATCCCATACCCGAGGCGGAGGAGCTGCTGCAATCGAAGTTGGCCACGGCACGACACAGCTTGAGCACTTGTGAGGAGGATTTGGATTTCTTGCGCGAGCAGATCACGGTATGTGTTTTTTTATTACGAAGTTTGCTTGTTTTGGGGGGTTGGGAGTGGCTAATGAGGTTTTGCAGACGCTTGAGGTTGCATTCGCGCGCGTGTACAATTGGGATGTTGCGCAGCGGAGGAAAGAGAGGGAAGGTGGGGAGTCGATAGAGGAGAAGAAGCGTGGATCTCCTAACGGTTAAAAGTCTGAGGGATCGCATTCTCATGTCCAGTCTTGAGATTGTATGGTGAGAGAATGAAAAGTTAGCATCAGCATGAGACGACGAAATGAAAAATATAACACGGCCCTTCCTTTTCTTCAACGTGCTTAATATGTGAGCAAGTTGTATAAGCTTGTCCAAGTCTTTACGAAAGAAAAGCCAAAAAAGCAAAACCACAAAATTTGTATCATTCTCTTGTCGTTGAATTTTATAATATATATACCAGCTACCACATAACCAAATTCCACTATCTCAAAAAAAACCAGCAAGGTACAATCACCCCTTATATCCACTATTCACAGCCCTATTACATCTTTCCACCGATCCTCCCTTCCATCTATCCACCATTCCATTCAGATATAAACATATTATCACCTACAAACCCCCCGATTCTCTCTTGACAACCCCTCACCTATGACCTGTTACACCATCTATGCAACAACGAGCTTAGCAGCAGCATCACCGCCATCGCTCTTTATGGAGTCCATATCCTTTCCAGTCTGTGCCTTGACATACTCGTTCATCATCTTGGTGATGGGGGCCTGGCCACCCCACATGTCCATCTCGGCCATCATATCGATTTGCTTCATGGTCATGATGACAGAGCCAAGAGGAGCCTTGATGTCACCGTACTTGTCCTTGCTGTCCTGGCGGCGCTCAGGCTTAGCAGCCTCAGGCTTGGCAGACTCTGATGCAGCGGACTCGGTACCGTTGGTAGGAGCCTGGAGAGTGGGCTTCTCGCCTTCGGGGGTCTTGGGGGTGGCAGCAGAGGACTCGGTGGCGGGAGCCGCGGTAGCAGGAGACTCGGTAGAAGGAGCAGGGCTGGAGCCAGCGGGGGCCTCGGCGGGAGCAGCAGTGGAGCCGGTAGGGGGAGTGGCTCCTCCTGCTGGAGCAGCAGCAGCAGCGCCAGCGGCACCGCCCATGACTTGCATGGTGAGGATGTACTCTCCGTCGACTTGGCGGACAGGGATGGCAATGCGCATGTTGGACATGTCGAGGACGGCATCAGCCTGGACGGGAGTGAAGGTGGGTGCGAGAAGAAGCTGAGCAGCGACGGGGTTGGGCTGATTGGTGGTAGGGGTAGTGCCTTGGACCTGGCGGGCAATCTCCTTCCTGAACTCAGTGCGGGAGAGACCACGACGGGTGGTAGCGGCTCCACCAAGGCTGCCAGTTGCACCACCGGGGTTTTGGAGAACGCTCCTCTGAGCGACGGCGATGGCGACGGATCCAGTAGGTGGTACACCCATTGATTGCATCATCTTTTGGATACGGACAGCGTTGACTGGGAAGAGATGTTAGTCTGTGAACAGGTATATAAGGGGTTCCAGGAGGACTTACTGGGCATCTGGACGACAGTAACTTGTTGGTTAAGGGTAGGGACGACAGCACCAAGGTTGGTGGTGACCGAGTAGCGGTAGTCGTTGACGGAGTCCTGGCCCTGAAGAGCAGCCAACATGCTACTGTCAATGCCATCCTTGACGTCGACATTCATGGTCATGGGCTGGGTAGCACGGATGGACATCCTGAAGCCATCCTGGAACTCGTTCTCTTGGAGACCAGTGCCCTGGATACCGACAGAGGTGCTACCATCACTGCCAAAGGGAACGACAACGGTGTTGGTCTCGACAGTCTGGCGACCGACAACCATGTACTCGCCATCCATCTGGCTACGCTTGACCATGCGGACAGTCATGTCGGTGGTGTTGACCATCCTCATCGTCTCTTGGATCATCCAAGTCTGTCGATCAGGTGAGAGCTTGGCCACGTAGGTGTTGTCTGGCTGGACTGCTACACCCTGGAGGTTCTGCATTGTCATGGCCATCTCGATCTGGCCACCGACCAGGTCAGTTGCACCATTTGTGCTGATGGTCATTGACTGGGGGGAGACGGCAACAAAAGGCTGTCCGGTGGTGCCAACAACCTGGTTGGCGGGGATTGAGGGGTTTTGTTGATTAACAATAATCTGTTGCTGTTTTTGGGAGAAGGTCTCGACCTTGGAGCGGTCGGGGAAGACAAAGGAGTTGAGTTTCATCTAGACTTGTTAGTTTGATGATATCCACAAGAATCAATGACTGTATACTTACATCGCCATTGACATTAAGTACTTGGTTGTACTGGACACTTTGCGACTGAGCGAACACCTGTGTACAGCTCAAGAAGATAAGGAAAAGAGAAGTGACAGTACCGGACGTCATTTTGAAAATATAAAAGCCACCTGGGCGTTATGAAGAAATATTAATTAAGAGAAGAGAAAAGAATTAAGAAAACGAAGAAAGAAGAAAACAAAGATGGTTGAACAGACTTGCTGTGGTAGTGAGATGCTCCAATGTTCAACAGTGGCGCTCACTTTTAATATGAATAATTGCGGTTTCGTCCCAAGCCTTCACGACCTGGTTCGGCATACCTCCTTGCCGTCCATAGAGTTTCGAGTCTTACTACATGTGCGGATGCCGGAATGACCTGTGGCGCAGAGTTGCATACCTGCCAGGCATACTGAGCTGCCCCGTAGTCAAAGGCCCCCCACTTGAGTTTGTTTGAAGCGGTCTCATTCGACTGTCTTACCCTTCCTGACCATGGTCATTACAAATATGGTGTCGGCCAAGAGATTCCTCATGGCAACAGTGAAGCTTCTCTGCAAACATAGTTTCAAGCGTCAGGCAGAACATTTCTGCTGTAGGTATGGAACGTATTTGCCGGGGACATGAACCCTAGTAGTGGCCTATGATACTGTCCAGCGCATGACGAGACAGTCCAGATCGATGTCGGACAACTAGACTGTTCTGGGAACTTGTCTCGTAGAACAAGCTTTTGCCGAGTATCACCGGTTACTGGCTGACACGAGAAGCTTGGTTTGTATGCAAAGCACAAGTGGTTACGTTAATTCTCAGACGCCACTTTCCAAATGAAAGTCGCATAGGTAGACGGTTGCTTGCAGTAAAAGCACCAGTCTGCTCGAGAACTCAAAAAACTCCCCTCAGTTCGGGGAATTGCTATGATTGTCTGCTGACTCGATGGTGTTTCAAGTGATGTGCTTTCGATGTTCTGAAATCATCAAACGTCGATGTTTGGAGTTGTGTTTCGCGATGCAGGTTGATGCACGAACACGATCGACCGGCTACATTAGTTCCCGACTAGCGTCAGTTGGCCAACACCGCTGAATGCTAGAAGGACTCGCTGTGATTTTGCAGTACTATCGTACACCGTCATCTTTTGGCATATGGTGATATAATATTTATCAAGTTCGCGAGGTGCCATCGCGGTTATTGTAAAGTTGGCTCCTATCCTGGACCTGGATTGATAACGGTTACTTACCTTAAGTTCCACAAAAGTAGTACTCAAATGCCCACACATGAATAGACGTAACATCTCAAATAATAAACTATTTGTACGTCTCGTACGGCGGGTGGCGCCGAGGAAGTAGACGTCACTTGGATTTGTTCTACCGTATAATGAATATTACTGTACACATTATGCGGACTGTTAGGGCCTCTTACACCTGTCTGTTTTTTTGCCAGTAATATCAAATTCCTCACATCTTGATCCTCAAGCCCGTAGTACCCGTTCTCTCTGTGCCTGTACGCCCACTAATAGCCCCCATACTATCAGCGTCGCTACCGTCATCTCCATCACCATATTCTTCTTGGTCGTTGTCTGCAATGCCCAACCCCAGTGTGCCTACTTTAAAGACGCTACTGCACCACTCACTGAACATGTCGGGGTCCCAGACACCATCTTCCCTACCCTTGCCTTTGGCGCTCCGACCGGATCCGTTCTGGTTGTTGAGAGAGGGTGCATACGAAGTATCGTACCAGTCCTCGTAAGTCTGGGTTACCGACTCCATGACGGCTGCGACAAGCATTTCACGGGTCCTCGCATCTGTGATGTATTCTTCCAGCTTTGAGCGTAGAAATGGTGTTTCGTGCTCAATGTTCTGCCGAATCCTGCTGATGCGCGCGGGAGCTTCGTTGATTGGCACCTTTTTGTTGTTCTTTGTGTCGATCGGCGCTGTCATCCTGTTCACGAATTGGCCAGTAAAATTATTGATTGCTTGCCGTAGACGGGCGTCTACTTCTGCTTTCGCGTCCAGCATGTTTTCCACGACTTTAGGAATCAACAAGCCGACCAGGTTGCGCGGGTTGAAAAGACCACCTCGTGCGCGGAGTTCCCAGAAGGTGTTCGTTACGCTGGAGAAGTTATATTGAACCTCAGTCTCTGGTGTAACGAACTCAATGTCGAACGCTACAATTTGTTGTTTCAAGAGCAGCAAATGCGAAATGAGGAACAAGGCGGCATCTGTAGGTGATGTTGACTTAGCAAGGAGTGAACCGGCCTGTGTGAGCGAGACGGTGGTGCTGTGAACAATGCGGTGAGCTAGGTCGTCAAAGACGGAGGACTTTAGGCGACGTTAGTACAAACATCAATGGCGGATTATTTAATACATACATGCACAAGCCTGTAAATTTTACTGAGCAACCAAATAGCCTTTCGCAAGGTTGGGTACCAGTCCTTGAACGCAGCTTCAGTGTTGAAATTCCATCGAGCATCAGAGTCATCTTCGTCAACAATCGTGGGTGCATTTGGCAGTAATGGCGTAGGGGGACCCTCGGACTTTGGTTGCTTCTTTCCAGATAGGGCTGGTTGATTTGACTTTGTTCCGGAGGTTGCTTGTTTTTTGTTTTTCGCGGGGTAGTCGAGATCCTCTGGCTTTGGCTTGTATCTTTCAATATCATCTCGCAGGATGGCTAGGGATAAAAATACGAGGCGGTTTTGCGCGTCTTGTAGTGCGGGGTGCACTATGACTGAGAAGTCGATTTTGTTGGCTTCCACTGGAGAGGCCTCTTCCTCTTCTTCCTCTTCCTCCATATACCGTGTCTGTATTAGAGTGCAGAGTTCACATAGCTTGAGTATTTGGGTTTCGTGAATAGTCCGCGGTCTAAGATGATCGTACAAGGGCTCGCATACAGCTTCAAGAAAGTCGTACAACCCGCCATCGCCTTCGAACCACTCGCGCCATAGGCCGCATTCATCGAAACATATGCCACGGATGTAGCTTATGCTACTACGAGCAAATGCAACCAAGTCAGTCGATGTGCTCGGGGCTTGTGCAATCTCTCCGATCTTTTTTGTGATAATGGGGAGAATGAGGCGGCCGCGGGTGGCTGAATAGCTCTGGTACAACTCGTTCATCAGACTCTGATATTCCGCTTCTGCACCCGGAGCAGCACCAGGGGGCAACACTGCACGTTTTTGTATTTCCATGCCAATGCTCTTCAGTTCTGGCGCACCAACACGGAATTTGGCATACAACAGTGCAGACATTGTTGTGTCGTTAAGCTGCCGGTCAGCTATCCGTTTCGCTACGTCTGCTGCAATTTCCCGCAGAGCTTCGGTGAAATGAACA